AGAAACAGTTTTTAAATAAATTGTACTTCTGTAGTCTTTGTTACTGCTAAGAATTGCACTTACCGTGCATTTTAACTACTATCATTTGCACTTTTTGTTCGTTTTTGCTGCTGTTACTTATATTCAGAGTCTTTTTCTATTTTCATGCGCATTTTTCCACTTTTTACTACTTTTAATTGCATATGCCTTCTGGTTTTGCTACCCTGAGTTGCACTTATCGTTAATTTTTAATTTTTACTACTGTAAATTATATTTTCCGTTACATATAACTAGCAACAAAAAATAAAATAAAAATAGACGTTACGTTTAGAAATACTAATTCATTTTCTAAACACAGTATTTGGAAATAAATTATAAATTAATCATTCCAAAAAAATTTGATTACAATAAGAGATATATATTTAATCATCAAATTTTATTTGATAATTTTTGACATTTTATTTGACAATTTATTTGTAGTGAAATTAATCACGTTGTTCTGATGAATTGTTTATTGTTTAATGGCCGATGATCTTTGTCGCTTATGCCGTTTGTCTTGTCAGACCCCTTTGCTACTCTCTATCTCTCTCTAAGCTTTGTCACAGTCAATATGATCTCTCATCTAAAATCTGGAACGTTTCCCAAGCACGAAACCAGGAGACTAATGAGCTACAGCAACATTGGTCACACAAGCTTCGACAGAGTTTATCATTGAGCTTGTGTGATCGCATATACGATTTGAATGCATGATCAGTGAAATGGGAAAAGGGATAGAGAGAGAGAGAGAGAGGAGAGAGGGAGTAAACTGAACTGTTTCCTTTGTAAAGCAAAACCACCGTACGCATTAATCCCTACTTTGATAAATTGTAAACTGATATAACACAACAGCGGAATCAACTCTTCTAGGTGAATCTAATACAGGCTTATATATATACACCACTATCCTCGACGATACAGCATTGACAAATATTGCTTGCTTTGTCTCATACGACTGATTATTAGAAATATTCCATTGGAGATTTCATCTATTCGGAAATTTAATGTTATTCCATTTGCTGATTGTTAATATTTCAATATTAGCAATCACAAACTGCTAATTCTAAATAACACTTTTACAAAGTATCACTCTGAAGAGTGATGAACGAAATTTGTGAAAGTTTTGAAAGTACTGTTCATTTGAGGTAGTATTGTTTTGAAGACGATTTTTACCGTTTGCACTTACCGTCTTTTTTTGTATTGTACTTTTATGTTTATTCTTGACAACCTTTAATGTTTGGGTTTACCGTCGTTTACGTTTGCACTTACCGATCGTCAATATGTACACTTTATATCTATTCTTGCACTTATCGTCTATATGTACTTGCACTTGCCTTTGTCGACTGCACTTACCGTTGCTTAAGTGTTAGTAACTATCGTCGTCTAGAGTAACTAGGGTCGATTTATAACTGTTACTAATACATATCGTCACTAAGGCTATTAACTACCCTAGTCAAGTATAATTATGTACAATTCTAACCATTGATGGTAGCACTTACCGTCGCTAAGAGCTGTTAACTATCCTTGTTTTCAAGTATAACTTGACTTAACAACTAACCATCCTTCTATGATATTAATTCTCCTAGTCAAGTGTGAACCAAGGTCTATTTCTAACTATTACCGATAGCACTTACCGTCGCTAAGTGCTACTAACTATTCTTATTATCAAGAGTGACTAGGATCGATTTCTAACACTTGACATAGCACTTAGCCTTTCTAAGTGCTACTAACTATACGCTCGTTTTTAAGTGAATCTAAATTCGATTTTCAACTATTGTTGATAGCACTTACCGTCGCTAATAAGGCTCGACGATTTTAATTAACTAATTTTATTATAATTATCATATCAATTAATAGTATTATAATTGTATTTTTCAAAGTATTAATCAAGGGGAAGTGCCTCAATCGAAACTACCGTGTGTGCTTACCGTGCCCTAAGGAAAGTTTTCAAATCAAAAAAAAACATTGTCAAATTCCTGTATAATTAGAAAATAATTTTCATTTTTGGGCCACGAAAATTTTCTGTTTTACTGAATGAAGTTTAAACTTGGGCACACTTTTGAAAAGTGAAATATTTAATTGAAAAAGTGGTTATTAAAATAAATGATTCGTTTGTGGTTTCAAAGGAATTTTGTCATGAGAGAGGGCAACGAAGAGACAGAGAGAAATAGAGAGATAGAGAAACAGAGACGTAAAGGGAGATAGAGAGAGAGAGAAAGTTTGCCGGAGTGAATGTTCGTGTAGGTGAACAGTCATTGCATTAAAGGCAAGTCCACTGGGTGCAGTGTCTGCACTTAACGCAAGTCTAGAGACGCAGAAGAGCAGGCACTTTGTATATATGAAAACCCAAATGTCCCGCGTTGGTTCTTATTCCAACGAGATATGCCATTTTCTGGAAGTAAAGTTGTTAAATCCCGAAAGGCAGAAATTATATACACACACTTTTCGAAATTCAAAAGAAATTGCAAACCGTCTCGAGGCAGAAAGAAAAAAAAATGTAGAAAACTTTTTCATACCATTATTATTAATTAAATCCGAGTTTTTTTTAATAATAATTAAACAACCGAATAAAAATACTAAAAGCAAATATTTACAAAAACATTATAATCTTTTTCCATTTGACAAGAATGTTTATATAATACACAAAAAATCTTTGCTATGAACACGGTTATTATCAACATTACCATCCTATTTGGAAAATCAAATTATCTCTTTAATTCAACAAAAATCCTCAAATTTTGTAAACAAAAAAATTATTGATAAAAAAATGTTCTCTCACCAATAAAATAGTTCAAGAATAATAGATTTGGAGAATAAAAAAAAGAGAAGAAAGCACGCGGGAAGAGTATGGATTAAAAAGATTTTACGGGATTTTAAGAGATGAAGGGGAATAAAAGTATAAAAGTGGCTTAAAAAGAAAATAATAGTGAATAGTAAATCTATTAAACCTTGCGTTAATTTTTTTTCGTTTGCTTTATTTTGTTTCAAATTAATCTGGGAAAACATTTTAAATTTGCAGATTGCATCTCGAATTGTTGTGTGTGATTAGAGAAAAATAATTCAATAATAGTTTCGTTAAATTTACCCTTTTTGCAAAAAAAAAAAAAATAGTAATAATAATAGTCACTGGTAGTTATACAATCGAAGTACCATCGACGGTAAGTGCAATTAATTATAACTGCACTTAATTATTAGAAATAAGTACAAATACAATAATTTACTGATATCGTTAAGTATCAATGACGATAAATTAATTTATGATTAGATCAAATATATAATCATTATGGTGATATTTTAAAGGACGGTAAGTGTCACTATCAGAAAATTGCCACTACATTAAACTATCACTTAATGTAAATATCGGTAAGTGCAACTGCCGGTAGGTGAAAATATAAGTAAATAAAACTATTGATAAGATAAACTATCGATAAGTGAAACTATCGATAAGTGCATTCATCGGTAAGTGTAACTAATTAAAAAGTAAATAGTAGTAAAACTACTTTCCGTCTTGATTGACGGTAAGTGCAATAAAAATAAAGTGCAATAATATTACCAAACTTTTCTCTAAAAAGCGTGGGTTACAGTAATTGAAAGAAATGTAAACAATTGTGAACTATTATTACTAAACAAGTAGTAACTGGCGGTAGTTATAAACGACGGTAAGTGTTATAGACGGCCTTACATAAATTATTATCGGCATTTGCACTTACCGGTAATACGATTCACAATATACTCATTCAAATATATTATAGTAATCGAAATAAATGTCGATAATTGGAAACCTTTGAAAGCAATACCTGTCGGTACTTATAAAAAGACGGTAAGTGACATAGATGATCTATAACAATAATTGACGGTACTTGCACTTACCGGTAATTTGATTTGAAATATAATTGATTAAGTATATTGTATTAATCGAAATAAAATAGCAATAATTGTCGGTACATTTAAATAACGGTAAGTGCCAACAACGACTTCTATAAATAATTGACGGCACTTTCACTTACCGTCAGTTTGATTTAAAATATACTTATCCAGCGTTAGTAAATCATGACACTAAATCAAACTAAGGGAATAATAGAGTCAGTGGTAGTTGTACTTTGCGGTAGCTACCATCTACGGTAGTTGTACTTGACGGTTGTTTTTACCTGAAACAAAAAAATTAGAAAATGACAGTTACACTAGACTCCAGTTTTTACAAGAAGATTATTTTTTTATTTTCTTTATAATTTTTTCTTATTAAATCTTTACAGATTATAATGTTTTTATTATCTTTTTTTGATTTCGGATAAAAAAAACGGTAATCACTCGACGGTAGTTGAAATAATGTAGGAGACCAAGAAATGCAATTTTGTAACAGACATATCTCGGTAATTAGCGTTTGGTTTTCTTCGAGTGCAAGTTACAATTTCTGTGGCATCGCGTCCTATTATGGGGTATTATGTAGAAATTACCGGATTCGTCGAATTGTAAAAGCCTGCAGCAATAGTAATTTCCCGACGAATTTGGTACAACGGAAATGTGCTTGACGAGACGTTCAGACACCGTTATCCAAGTGAAACGTGCAATAAATTCCTACGTGTTTTGAATGATTAAAATTGCTGTTCTAACGTTATTGAATTTCTTTTAGTTTTATATTTTATTTTGTTTCAAAAACATGGATATTTCTATATTTATTTTTATTTATTCATTTTTTCAACAGAAATATTGTGTTAAAAATGTATAAAAATAAAATCACGTGAAAAGTATATATAAATTAGGAATTTACGTAAGAAAATTTGTGACGTATTCTTCATAATTACACGATATGATTACTAAAATATTTTGATCCTAGGTAATAATAAACTACAATAATTCTAATTTGTAAATAAGATTTTTATGATTAATGTTTAATTAATATTTTATTGAAAATTAATTTAAATTTATATTTATGTAAAATAAATAATTCGTGTACAAATAAACTTTATTCGAAATCTTTCTTGCAGTGACGCATCACACCGCAGTCTTTGGAGAGACATTGTAAAGGGAACACTAATTGACAGGACATCGAAGAATGTTGCAAACTTGCCAAGAATCTTTGATTCCAATGCGATAAAGAAAGAGGGAACATAAGAAGTAAAGGGGTAAGTGAAAAAAATATCATAATACTTTAACTGAATTTTTTATTTTAAAAACTAGAATTCATTTAAATATATTAAAAATATTACATATCTTTTATGATTAAATATTTTTAAGTTCAATAAATTTTTTCCTAACACTGTGAAAATTAAAATTTATAACAAATTTCTATTTCAAATGTGATAAAAAAAATCAAAAATATTTTAATGAATAATATTACAAAAAAATAATAATTTCTACAAAAAATAGTAAAAATTGAAAACAAAAAAAATAGTAAGAAGTAAAACTAAACTAAAAGAAAAGAGTTACCTAACTTTTGCTATATTTTTTTGTTTTTAGCAAACAAATTTCACTTAATAACAATCTTTCTTCAGTAAAAATTAGTAAAAAAAAAATTAAAACTACAAAAAAGTAAAAATATAACAGTTAATAATTAAAATTATTCATAGTTAAAAATAATTTGATAATGAATTATTTGATAATATAAAAGCAATTGCGGTTCTTTTGAATAAAATAAATTTGTTCTCAAAAATAAATAAAGAATATAATTATTACTAATAAAAAATTAAAATAATAATCAGTAAACCTTTTTATTTTTTTTTTGTATTTTATTTAGTAATTTTTATTTTCTCTTTCTGAAAATGTTGTAGAAAATTATTAAAAACTTTAGAAATTATTATTTTGAATGTTAGACGTCGCCTTTTCAACAATTCAGAATTTAGAGGGGAAAGATAATCCTTTGTTGTAAACAAGAAAGTTAATGACCTTCGTCATTGTTAGGAATTTGTATTGAAACTGCTTTGCTTAAAAATTTTAGTTTCAAATTTATTAAAAGGAAAATTACAAATAATACAATATTGAAAATAATCAAGATATAATATTCATTAAAAAATTTATTTTAAAAAATCATAAAAATAAATAGTAAAATAAAAAAATATAAATATTTAAATACAATACTAGTAATAGTTAAAAATTAATTTAAAATAATAATAAATTGTCAAATAAATTAAAAACGTAAAAATAACATTTTTTAAAAAACATTTTTTAAAAAATAATTGTGAATAAATAAATTTTTATTGAACGAATGGTAATTTTCTTTTAAATTTTGTAGTGTAAAAATATTAAATATTCTCGAAATTAAATTTCGAAACTTATTCAAGTTAATAATTGAGAATTTGAAGGATAAGTTAATCCCGTATTGTAAACAAGAGATATAACGACATTGTTAAGAGAAATTGTTTTCTTTCCGTCCTTGTCTTTCTATTCTTCAACGACAAGGAAAGTACAAAATTAAAATTTAGCCCTTTCCCCTTCTTTTCTTCGAAAATAAATTTCTCCCTCTACCTGTGTGAACTTTCCATAGCGTCTCATTTCATCAACTTTTGTGTGACGGGTGGTTAACTGTACAGTTTCATTTCATTAAATAAGTGAATTTTTCAAATATTTTATTGTATTTTATTTAATAAACGTAAAAATAAAATAAAATAACAACAATTTAAACAAATAAAGTGCAACGAATTTTAAAAATCAAAATTTTTTAATTGAACAGGAATATTTTTCCTGCGACGCATATTCAAAGGAGGAGTTTATGGTGGGATTTTCCAGTCAATGAGAAATAATGAGTGAGTAACAAAAAATAGAATTTATTTTTTTATTTTAAATAATATATTTGTAATAGTTAACTGTAGTTTACAATTAGTTGCGAAATTACAGTGAATAAAAATAATATTCTTTACACTTAAAATAAATGTAGATACAGAATATTTCTTTATTTAATGATTATATTGAAACTGCTTTGATTGAAAATTTAAATTCTTTATTGAAAAGAAAATTACAATCTATTTTAAGATAAAAAATAATCAATATTTAATATTTATTAAAAAATTTAATTTAAAAAATCATAAAAAATAAATACAATAAAATAATATAAATATTTTAATACAATACTAGTAATAATTAAAAATAAAATTAAAATAATAAATTGTCAAATAAATTAAAAACGTAAAAATAACATTTTTTAAAAAACATTTTTTAAAAAATAATTGTGAATAAATAAATTTTTATTGAACGAATGGTAATTTTCTTTTAAATTTTGTAGTGTAAAAATATTAAAAATTCTCGAAATTAAATTTCAAAATTTATTCATTTTCATAATTGAGAATTTGAAGGATAAGTTGATCCCCTATTGTAAACAAGAGAGATAACGATATTGTTAAGAGAACTTGTTTTCTTTCCGTCCTTGTTTTTCTATCCTTCAACGACAAGGAAAGTACAAAATTAAAATTTAGCCCTTTCCCCTTCTTTTCTTCGAAAATAAATTTCTCCCTCTACCTGAGTGAACTTTTCATAGCGACACATTTCATCAACTTTTGTTTGACGAGTAACTAACCACTCGTCATGAAACTGTACAGTTTCTTTCATTAAATAAGTGAATTTTTCAAATATTTTATTTAATTTTAATTTAATAAACGTAAAAATAAAATAAAATAACAATTTAAACAAATAAAGTGCCACAAATTTCAAAAATCAAAATTTATTAATTGAACAGGAGTATTTTTCCATGCGACGCATATTCAAAGGAGGAGTTTATGGTGGAATTTTCCAGTCAATGAGAAATAATGAGTGAGTAACGAAAAATAGAATTTATTTTTTTACTTTAAATGATTTATTTGTAATAGTTAACTGTAGTTTACAATTATTTGCGAAATTACAGCGAATAAAAATAATATTCTTTACACTTAAAGTAAATGTAGATACAGAATATTTTAATTATATTTCTTTATTTAATGATTATATTGAAACTGATTCGATTGAAAATTTCAATTCTTTATTAAAAAGAAAATTACAATCTATTTTAAGATAAAAAATAATCAATATTTAATTTAATATTTATTAAAAAATTTAATTTAAAAAATCATAAAAAATAAATACAATAAAATAATATAAATATTTTAATACAATAGTAGTAATAATTAAAAATAAATTGAAAACGTAAAAATAACATTTTTTAAAAAATAATTATGAATAAATAAATTTTTATTGAACGAATGGTAATTTTATTTTAAATTTTGTAGTATAAAAATATTAAAAATTCTCGAAATTAAATTTCAAAATTTATTCATTTTCATAATTGAGAATTTGAAGGATAAGTTGATCCCCTATTGTAAACAAGAGAGATAACGATATTGTTAAGAGAACTTGTTTTCTTTCCGTCCTTGTTTTTCTATCCTTCAACGACAAGGAAAGTACAAAATTAAAATTTAGCCCTTTCCCCTTCTTTTCTTCGAAAATAAATTTCTCCCTCTACCTGTGTGAACTTTTCATAGCGTCACATTTCATCAACATTTGTGGGACCGGTGGTTAACTATACAGTTTCATTTCATTAAATTAAATAAGTGAATTTTTCAAATATTTTATTTAATTTTAATTTAATAAACGTAAAAATAAAATAAAATAACAACAATTTAAACAAATAAAGTGCCACACATTTCAAAAATCAAAATTTATTAATTCAACAGGAGTATTTTTCCTGCGACGCATATTCAAAGGAGGAGTTTATGGTGGAATTTTCCAGTCAATGAGAAATAATGAGTGAGTAACAAAAAATAGAATTTATTTTTTATTTTAAATTATTTATTTGTAATAGTTAACTGTAGTTTACAATTATTTGCGAAATTACAGTGAATAAAAATAATATTCTTTACACTTAAAGTAAATGTAGATACACAATATTTTAATTATATTTCTTTATTTAATGGTTATATTGAAACTGATTTGATTACAAATTTTAATTTCTTTATTAAAAGGAAAATTACAAATATTTCAAGATAAAAAATAATCAATATTTAATATTTATTAAAAAATTTAATTTAAAAAATCAAAAATAAATAGAATAAAATAATAAATATTTTAATACCATACTAGTAATATTTAGAAATAAATTAAAAATAATAAATTGTTACATAAATTATAAACGTAAAAATAACATTCTTTAAAAAATAATTATTAATCAATAATTAAAAAAAAATATTGAATTAAATATTTATTTTTCATGAAATATTATATATGTTTTGCAGTGAAGTTTTCAACATCATATTCTTCTGAAGGAGAGGAAAGGACACAGGACATTATCAAATTATATTATTATTGTGAAATGTAATTTAAAAATTAACGACGACTTTTTTGTACTGCGATTTAAAAATTATGTAACAGTATTTAGATAAGGATTGCGATATTTTTATGTATTAAATAAGAAAGAAAAAAATAGTGACGGAAGAGGAGAAGAAAGAAGCTGAAGAAATCGTACAACGAACGAAGACCGAAACATCTTCTTTCAAACAGGAATGGTATTACTGTGAGTTTTTGATTAATTTATTTACTTTTTTATATTTCTTAGGTATTACAGCGGCTAACTAAGATCCAATTTGTTTATATTTTTTCTTAAAGTCATTCTTGATATATTTATACAAAATTATAAAAAACCTTGCACTTTTAAAAAGTGTACTATTGAAAAGAATATACAGTAAGAATATAGCTTTATACATAAAAAATATTTATATACATTTTTTATGCTTAAAAAACAAAAATAAAACATAGAAATACTAAAATGAATTAACCATAAATTTCTTTTAAAATCAAATTAATATAGATAAATACATTTAAAGATAGAATTAAAAAAAATTGTACTTTTGCTTTTAACATTATCTAATAATAATTATTACCGCTGTGATACCTAAACTCGATGTCATTTTTGTAAAAAAAAATATAAAAAATTGCAATCCCTTTATTATCCCCTTAATATTCCTTGCGACCGCAGGCTAGTTGGGGTAAGTACGTATATATTGAAATTAAACATTGTTATATTGAAAAATAATAATATCCCTATTTACACTTAAAGATTTTGTAGACAAAAATTACAAGAGTTAAAAATCACATTTTTATATTAGATACCTGAAAATATGTTGTTGTCAAGGTAAAAAATTATTTAAAATTACATAGGTAAAGAAACTTAATAAATTCGTTTCATAAACTCAAGACATTACTGTAAAATATACATATTTATTAAAAAACTATGCGAAACCAAAAAATGACAAAAAAATTAAAGTCTAAATAGCTTGTCAAAAAATGACTCTATTAAATAAACAAAAGAAAAAATTAAAATCGAATATTTTATCTCAGTAACATTGGCAAGGTTGCCACAGGTCAGGAAATTCAGGGAAAAGTCAAGGATTTTTATGAAAAGTATTGGAAAAAATTAAATTTTTGCAATTCATAAGAAAATTATTAATTTTCACTTAAAATTTTTGTAGACAAAAATTATATGAGTTAAAAAAATCACATTTTTATATAATATACCTGAAAATATGTTGTTGTCAAGGTAAAATAAAAAATTAAATAAAATTACATACGTAAAGAAACTTAATAAATTCGTTTCATAAACTCAAGACATTAATGTAAAATATATACATTTATTAAAAAACTATGCGAAGCAAAAAAATTAAAGTCTGAATAGCTTGTCAAAAAATGACTCTAGTAAATAAACAAAAAAAAATTAAAATGGAATGCTTTATCTCAGTAGCATTGGCAACGTTGCCACAGGTCAGGAAATTCAGGGAAAAGTCAAGGATTTTTATGAAAAGTATTGGAAAAAATTAAATTTTTGCAACTCATAAGAAAATTATTAATTTTGCTGTCTTGTTTGTTTGCATCATAAACAATGAAACTACCACGAATTCTAATAAAAAACCTTCAATTTTTTTCAATTCTGACAATAATTTCTTTTTAAATAACTGAATAATAATTTTACAAATTTCTAATAAACTTTTTTCCAATAATTCAATTATTTTCATAAATAATAAACATTTTATGAACATTCAATGATATCCAAAAGAATAGACTTCTTTTTATGAATTTAATTATTTTCATTTTCATAAATAATAAAACTCACCACAGAATTCCAATTATTTTTAAATTTTTACAATTTTAATTGAGTTCCTCAAAAAATATAATAATTAGGATTAAAAAATTAAAAATGTTAAAAATGTTTAATTATTAGTTTAAAATTCGAAAAGAAAAAGTAAGAAAATGAAATTAATCGGAATCACAATTAATTAATTACAAATTTTTAAGTAAACAGCTTTATCGCATGAATCGCAATGAAACGAATTGTTTTTGTTAAATTACTGTAACTATGAGTGATTTTATTAATATTTGCAATGAAATCGCTAAAAACAAGCAATAAATTTCTACCCCTAAAGAAAGTGGCCCACAATTCTCCAAATGCTTCATTTTACAAAAAGCTTTGTATTATTTATTTTAATTTGATGCAAAGTTTTTTTTTAGTCAAAGTACCAATCCCACACAATAGTTAAAAAAATATTTTTCATAATTTATTCTTGAAAATCCTTGTAAAAACAATAAAAACATGAAGGTCCAAAATATATATTTGAATGCAATTTTTCAGGTGATTTTTGTTTACGGTTTATAGGTAAAATTATAAAGCGTTGTAAAGTAATTAAATGCTAATGAAAAATTTACTTTGGATGAACAAAAGAAAATAAAAAAAAATTGGGTAATCAAAGTTATAAATATTATTAAATAATTGAGGTGGCCCACAATTGCCCAATCTTCCCTAATTTTTAAGTAGTAACAGGTACACCCGTTCTATATATCAGACAATTAAAATAAGGAAAAAGGAGCTTTAAATTTATTTTCTCTAAAAAGCGCAGCAAAAGATTAATCAATAGTGAACCTTTTTCCTTTTGTACAACAAAAACTAAAATTGTGCCTCCATGATTTAATCAGGTTTTAGAGAACCTTTTGAGTTTTCATGCGACTAATTAGGGTTAAAGCATTAAAATATCCATGAACTATACTGAACCATTCGAATTGAAACTTAACATTACTAAAATTTGGTATCGCTTTTTTCCTCAAATATATTCAGGCTGATAACCGTCATCTTCCTTTGTTCAACAAATAAGGAAATAAGTTAGTTATCCTATATTTTATTTATTTACTTAGAAAACAATAAGTTCCTAAGGCTTGCCCTCAAAGGAACAGTCAAAGTATACATTTCAATTAAAGTGTATACTTAATATTATCAATGATAAATTTAATATCAAATATGAGATTTTAAAGTCAAAGTTTATGAAAAATGTTTTATAAAAAGCTTATATAATCTATTATGATAATAGATTAATATTAGTAGGGTATTTTCAATGAAAGTAATTGAAGGATATTATGAGAAAAAAGTGAGTCAAGAGTATTCTCTTAAAAAAATTAGATTACTTTTAGATTATATATTAGATTGATGTAAAAAAAGTCAATTGGTTAGAACGAGTCACACAAAGTTTATGAACATTCCCAATATACTCGTTAAACTGGTAGTCAGGGAACTCAGCATGAATTTTAATTTAATGACAAATCTTTTGACTCACTTAATTCCTGTAATTTAATTTATAAAAATACAAAATGCATAAAAAACTTAATAATTAACTCTAAAGTTTAAGAATTTAAAAAATATTTAGAACGATAAAGAGTTTATTGATAAATGTCAGTAATTTTCCAGTACAATTAAATAGACTATAAAAATCAATGACAATCGGTAAACGAATTTCTTCGCGATAATCAATCGGTTTTGTCTCGTCAGAATTTTGACGTTTTCTGCCACCCGTTTTCCTTAAGAAAGACAGTCGGTGCCGAAGCCTTTCCTCAGCTCGTTTCATAATTGTTAAGAAAATGGAGTATTAGTCCGAAACTACTTTTGATAAATAGCGTAAACATTACTGTTAAATATACAAGTTTCTCAAAAATGTGCTAAACCTGAAACCTGCCAAAAAATGAAAATCTCAAATTAACTTTAAAAAAAAATATGAAACATGAATAATTAAAGATAAAAAATTAAACTTAAATTTATACTATTTTACCAAATAAGTGAGTCAACAGATTTCACCTTAAGATAACTTCGAAATCAGAGTAATTTAGATTCAATTCACGATTGACATTAAGAAAGTCGATCATTGAGCAGGATTAAGACCCGAGAAAACAAATCGGGAGGATGTGGATGGGTTAAGACTTATCTCTCCAGCGGGTTTTTTGTTAAACGTCTGGAAAGAGCAAATAGAATACATAAAGTTGGTAAATAAAAAATAATTTTTTACAACAATATCTGATGACGGACGTTAATTAAACCACCTGAGACCAATGCTCTCTGAAGGGTCCACGATGGGTATTGGATTCATGAATCACATACCCTGAAGGGTCTTAATAGGAAAAAAAGTATTCGGTTGACATGAATGTATGTCATTTTTGCAAACTAATATCTGTTGACTCTCTTATATTTAATATTTTGACAAAGATGTCTTTTTTATTATAAGTTAAGGAAGAAATTAGCCTTTTACTGTTACTTACAAATAACATTTATTGATTGATATTGAATATTTGTATATTGACAAAAATACAAAGTATTTACTTATATTTACTTTTTAAAGTAATAACCAAAAACCGTTTTTTGCAGAATTAAAAATCCAAAAAAACATAGTTAAACTTTATTAATCTACGCCAAAGTACTCTCATTTTATGTTTGCACGTGAGACCTACAATTTAAAAAAAATCCATTCCTAAAGTTCTACATGATCTCGAGATATTTATGAAATTGTGATATTTACACACACATACGGAATTACATTTTTTAAATAAATCATTATTGAACTCCTGAGGTCAAATACCATAAAGATATGTCAAAAAATCGAACTCGACAAATTTTGATATTACAAAACTTCCTCTATGAGGACACAATATAATAAAAATATTGTAAAAAATTGTCATTGATTTTTATTAAAAGTACTGGAAAAAATTATAAATAATGAATTTTGCTGTGTTGTTTGTTTGCATCATAAACCATGAAATTACCAGGAATTAGAATAAAAAAACTTTTAATTTATTTCAATTCTGACAATAATTTCTCTTTAACCAACTTATTTCTTCAATAACTAATTTAAAATTATTCTTCTTAAATTCTGTAATGTATAGTTTCACAAATTTTTAATAAATTTCTTCCCAATAAGTCAATTATTTTCATAAATAAGAAAATTTTATTCTTTTTAAATTCTGTAATGTATAGTTTAACAAATTTTTAATAAATTTCTTCCCACTAAGTCAATTATTTTCATAAATAAGAAAATTTTTTTATAAACTTTCAATGATTTTCAAAATAATAAACTTTTTTTTAGGAATTCAATTATTTTTATAAATAATAAAACTCACCACAAAATTTCAATTATTTCAAATACAATTAAAATAAAATACTCTTTTGTTCAGGATTTTTTGGGGCTTAGTACCTACTAGAAGTCAGGTGACTTTCAGATGATTAGATTTATTAAATTTAAATAAAATAAATTTTTAATATTTTTTTCACCAAATTTACTTTGCCTGATAGCGTACGGGTGGATCTGCTATTATTTTAAAAGTAAAATAAAATCCTCTATTCTTTATAGTGTAGGGATTAGTCCCTACTAGAACTCAGGTGATTTTCAGATGATTATATTTATTAAAATTTGAAAAAATAAATTTC